TTTGAATAGTTTAAATGAATTGCTCTTTTTCAACGTAAATATCTGGCTACGCGGTTAGAAATACTTGTTCATGAATGAATGTGTTATCCATTGTCTTGATTATGTTTATTACAAGCCTCAGAAGGCAGAAAACTTCGTATTAATCATCGGTCTTCAAAGAAATGCCATGTCCTAGGTCTAGAATAAGCTTAGGGAGTGATGAGCAAGTGTTTGATGTAATAGCTATGACTGGTATAAATAAATGGTTGGAAGGAAACGCAGAAAAATATTTGGCAAATTTATTCCCTTTGGGTCGGCGATAATATCATGGATTAGGTTTGTAGGTATTTGATCGCTTAGTAGATTTTATAATAAATTTTCAAGACACATATTTACTATCGTTTTGATAGAAATGCTTTATTTTTCTTTTTTTATAAGGCAACAAAAGGCGGCATCAAGATTTTCTTTAACTGAGTCACCTGAGGGATATCAAATTAAACATTTTTAAAATACGTTTTAAGATAATGTTTTCCCTTTAGAATTAGGTAATCAGAAAATAATAATTTTGAATCAATATGGCTTTCAGAGTTTGTCCTATAAATTTTGAGTCTTAATTCGGCCGTCAACTAGGCCATCACGTTTTAATATATATGCTTTTTTAAAAATCGAGAATATTTTTTTATATATATACTTTCATATACAAAAATTTAATTTTCATCAAAATTACCAGCAATAAGTAGTTGTCATGAGACCGCTGAGTGGTTTAAAATATTTCGTCAAAATAATATTCTAAATAAATCTTTAGCCATATAATAATTTTTTATCAACCAGGAAGATGTTGAAGTGGTTGATATTCGGTGTTCTAGGAGGGACCAAGGCTAGTCGGCACAAGGGGTTTGTCAGTTCAGCGGATTTTAATTAAAATTAGATATGTTTAGAAATTCAAATTTAATTATGTAATAGCATTTTATAATATGTAGGGGAGACTGGGCTTAGGTAAACCGGGGCTTGGCAAACCATTTAATCTCATTTTAAAATTAAATACACCAGAAGGTTAAAATTTTATCTTAATATAGTTTTCATTAGTATACATCTATGGATAAAATATATTTTGAAATAATTAATTATCAAAAATTTTATTTAAGAAATAAAATTTTGATGAAATTTTCAAAAAATTTTTACATGACAGAATTTTAATTTTTAATTAAATATAATCATTTATATGTAAATTAAATTTTATAGCAAAGTTTAAACACTCTTCTTTAATTTGAGAAAGTTTTACATTATTTAAATGATTATTTGTCAATTTAGCGCTAGCGGGGCTTGCTAAACTATACATGTCAATTATGTCAGTTAATAATAAAAAAAAATTCTAAATCTTGAAAAGGCAATTTTATGGCTGTTTATGATTGGTATTTAGAATTTATGCTAAGAAATGATAATCTATTCTTAAGATCCTTATTTTTTTACATTCAAAATGTTTATTAAATTAACCAAAATAAAGTTTCAATTTTTATATATAATTAACTTCAATTTATAAGTATTATTGTTATTTTGAACAATAAAACAATAAAATTATACTATTGTATCATTATTAATAAAAAAAAATTATTTCAATTAATTATGTTCTAAAACCAATGATTTAGGAAGCCCCTTGAAGTGGTTTGCCTCACCCCGCTATTGGGGCTTGTAAGACAAAATTATCACTTTTACAAAAAATAGAATTTAAAAAAAAATGATTATATTCTTAAAATTTTTATAAGGCACCTTTATAGAGTATAGTTTTAGGTATCTAATCATATATTATTTTTTATATTATCTAAAAAAACCAAGAGACATAGCCAATTTTGTAAAAATCAACTAACCCCTGTCTCCCCTATAATTGAGCTGAAAATTTTTTATATAACTCAGTTATTTAAAATTTACATAAATAAAACCCTCTTTTCACATTTCAGAAAATTTCAAAATCATATATCACGTTTAAATATATTTTTAGAAGGTATTAATTATATTAGCAACTAGGAGCTATAGACTCAGGGCTAGCCGGAACAATCAAATTATTCTTACAAATATGATACATTATTATATATCTATTCAATAATATAAATTAAATATTCATTAGTTACTATTTTATATTTAAATAAATTATGTATGATAATAGAAAAGAATAAAAAATAAAAAATATTTGTGATTAGGGTATAAAAAAGCTTCAAATTTTAATGCCATAATATCTTTTTATATTTAGACATCATAAATGATATTCCATTTTTTAATACAGAATTTGATTATATATTTCTTAATATAAAATGTAGGGGAGACTGGGATTAGGTAAACCCTGGAGTTTGGCTATTCTCATTTTAAAAAATAGTCTAGATGGTTTAAATTTTATCCTAATTTATCTTTTATTAGTATGCATCTATAAGCAAAAAATTATTAAAAATTTTATTTAATAAATAAATTTTGAAAATTCAAAAGATTTTTACATGACCAAATTTTAATTATTAATAAATTATATAATCATTTATATATAAATTAAATTTTATAGGAAAGTTTTAAACCTCTTTTATAATTTGCATGAGTATTTATTTTGTTTAGATATTATTTCAATCATGAATAGTCAATTTAGAGCTCACCTCAATTATGAAAAATATATTTTAAAATCTTATGAAAAAATTTCATAGTAGTGTATGATCAATATTTAAGATTTATGCTAAGAAATCATAATCTATCCTTAAGAACCTTATTTTTATATGTCAAAAATATTTATTAAATTAACAAAAATTAAGTTCCAATTTTTATATATAATTATCAATTTAAACAGTATTGTGATATGTTCAACAATAAAATAATAAAATATTGTATACGTATCATTATTAATTATTTAAATGCATTTCAATTCATTATAGCCTATATTGGTTTAGGAAACCCCTTGTAGTGGTTTGTCGAATCCCGCTATTGGGGCTTGTTGGGCAAAATTTCTACTTTTACAAAAAATAAAAATATAATTATATACTATAAAATATTTATATGGCACCTTTATAGAGTATAATTATAGGTATTGATTTATATAGTACTTTAAAATATCTAATAAAAACATAAGAGTTATAGGCAATTTTTCAAAATCTATTGGACTAGCCCCAGTCTCCCATACAAATATAATATACATAATAATTTATGTGCAAAAGAATAAAATATTATTTACTAAGGCGTTTTTTTTTACTGCAAACACTACTAATACCCTCCTATAAATTTCAGACAATTTTACAATGAACTTTTAAAGAAATTTTAATTTACATCAAAATATGGGAATTATGAAAAAATCAATATAAATTAAGGTTTCTTCAATAGTTGGTCACAAAATTGTCTGAAATTTAAAGAGTGGTCTATACATATTGGAATGCATTTCCGGGAAATCAGATCTTTAAGTTTAATAACACGCGATTAAAAAAAACAGCATCTTCGATATAGATACAGATATCGAATGCCAAAAAAATACTGAGCACAAGATACAAAAGGATCTCATATCTTAGATAAAAGTATTCCCGGTACTACAGAACTCTGTCTCTATTTTATATATCTTAAAATAAATTTGAAATATATCCACCCAAGTCGTATACTTGTATTTGAATAAAATTTGAACTTTATTTAGTAAATTATTTTATGTTAACAGAAAGATTGCATTTTTATTTACAATGTATATTACCCATTTTTTAAATGTTTTTTTTATTATTAAAGTTACATCCAAAACCTGTTTAAAATTTTAAGATTTCAATGGGATCAGAATCGACATTGAAATATAAATTGATTCATGCATATGCATAAAATTATGTCTTAACCCCTTATTCAATTCCCAGGGTATGGTTGGAGTCTTCCAAAGGGGACGTATATATATATATATAATAGATTATAATTAAATAAATCAAAATTATTAAATAATTATATACTTTTAAAATAAATAAAGAGAAAAGATATGATATTATTGATATTGTGAAAAAAAAATTGAATTCCCCTATGGACTCTTTCATCAGATGAGATAGATATTTTTTGCCACATTATGATTTTATCAACGAAATAATTTAACAAAAAAAATAATTATGAAAAATCTAATCTATAATTCTATTAAAAAGAAACCTTTAAAAACATGGTTTTATTTTGGAAAATTTAAGCTACGCACTAAAAATTATATCCTTATAAAAATATAAAATAGAGATGGTGATGAATGAATTTATAAATAATTTATAATAAAATGTATGTGCACTCTAACACTCTTCAAATACATTTAGAGAATCATATTCATATAGATTCTTAATGAAATCAAATTATTATTCATTTTGTTAAAATGTTACCAATTTTTTTCTTTCTTTCAATATAAATTTAATAAAACACACATTAAATTAAATTAATTTAAAAGAAAATAAGAAGAATGAAGCCATATGGAATTTATGTTTATCTATCATAAGAGGAAGAGTGGAGTTATTATATAAGAACAATTATAATCTACTAATTTTGGAGAAAAGAAATGTAAACATTTTTTGCTTTGTTTTAAAATGAGCTTTTCGTCGATTAGCTAGAGAGAAGGTTCTCGGTTAAAATATATTTTGTCTAAATCTTTTTTAAAGGGATAGGGTCATTTGTTTATTAATGTATTTTAATTACCGCTTATATTTCGACAATCAATCAATGGAATGAAAAACGAAACACATTAACACGCCTCAGGCGCGTAACAATAGGGGGGGGGGAGGAACCACATCGTTAATTTGCCTATTTTTTAAATATGATTTCAAGCTAATAAAAAATTTACCCTTTACAATCCCGACCCACCCCTCTACCCTTTCCCCAAAAAATGTATACAATATATCACTGTAAAAAAGAATTTGAAAGAAAAATTAGTAAAAGTAAATGCTAGTTTCCCCTCCCTTGGCATAATCCTGGATACGCCTATGAAACGCCAAACTTTCATGGAAATATTTATTTGAATTTCAAATTATCTATGCTTATTTCGTCGTTTGGTAGGTATATTATAAGAATAAATTTTTCTAAATTTGTAAAATAACATCTTTTAAAAAATAAAGTATATAATTAGAAAGTTTAGTATAAATTATACATGTGTACAAATTTATTCTAATATAATATAATATATTACATAATATACTTATACACTATTGCAATGTAGTGCCATTTTAAAGAAAATAATTAACATTTTAAATTTAAATATAAAATAAATTAAATATTATCTCTAGTTTTTACAAGTATATAATATAACACATTATTAAGGGTGAAAGGTCGAATGATATTTGTAAGAACTGTCTGTATTCCATTTGTTAAGTGCATTTCTGTGATTAAATATAGGCGAAATGTCAGAGTTGGGCGAGTTCCTTGAAGTATACTCGTATGGGTCAAATCGGATTTTATTTGATTCCAGATTTTTATCATTCGATTTGTTTAGACCATTTTGAGTGTGTTGTTCTTCATCAGGATCATTTGACTCATCTGACATTACACTGTCTTTTGAAAAAATAAGGGGATTTGTTTTGCAATTTGAGAGATTTTCTTTAAAATTGATATTATTTTTAGGATGTGTTATTGTGGTAGTAATAGTTAAGCTTCCATCGGAAGCTATTTGAGGGGCGAAGGATGTGTGATAAGGGATATCCGTCATATTAGCATTAGGAGAGTAGATCGAGAGGAATAAGTTCGGATTAGTGAACATGCTATTATGCCAATTCTTAAACATTCGTTCTGATATGGAATGTTGGTACTTTACTGAAAGTATTATATAAAAATTTCAGAATTTAGTTTATAAATATTTTTTTTTTAAACCAATCCCGGCCCGAATATTTTGGTCTGGTCCATGAGCTTAAGGCGGTCTAGGTCTCTGGTACTTATAACCTGTTACTCCCCCTTTAAAAAATTTAGTTTTGCCTCTTAGAAATCATTTAATTTACACATGTTTTCTACTTTTGGCATTTTAAATTATGAGTCCATTGAGAAAATTTGAATGACTTTAATCAAAAAAGTTAGCCATTCTACGGAATTAAATAACCAATAATAATTTTGTATTTAAAATCCCAAATTTATGGACCCTGAGTGGCAATTTCATGGTGATCATACCGTAGTCCTTATAGGCGGGATTGATAAGATAATGGTTGAAATATTGCAAAGATTTTTCGGGTTGGCCGTAAAAAAGTTGTCTGCGAATAGAGTCGTGATGGAAAAAGGAATCAAAACCATCCCTTTTTTATATATAACATATAAAAAAGAAAAAATTTAGAAAACGAAAAAAAAATTAATATCAAATAAAATATGATATGAGAGAAGTAAAAAGGATATATATACCTTTCAAAATCATTTATTCGCGAAGAATCCCTAAATCCTTTAGCGAATGGGTTACTATCTATTTTCAATTTTGTAATCTACAATTACATATTTTTTTAAAATTGGATTATGAGTTCTTACTTAATGATAATGATAACTAATATTTATAGCAATACAGTTTTAACCGTACTCACTTTGATTCTACCTTAATAGATCAATATAAGCAACCCAAACATAACCTTAACTAACAATTGTTCATCTCATCAATGATATCTAACCGAATTTAAAAAAATTTTGACAAATATACCAATTGATTTTGATAAGCTGTAACGGCAGTAAAGATGGTTTCTTTGAAAATAAAGGTTTTACGAACTCTATCCTTCAAGGGAGTTTTTAAAGGATCGAATGTATAATTATTATTGTTGCACAAGATTAAATGTAATCTAGGTTGGTATTTGTGCATAGAATTTAGAATTATCTGCCAATTTATTATGTAATTTAAAAAAAAGGAGTATAGTTAATATATTATATGGTATATATTTACAATTAATTCCATTTTAAAAAAAGGATTAATCTTTGCTATAAATTGTAAAAAATGTATACACTTTGGGATAATTTATTATAATTATTTTATGGCACTGCTATTATGGTATCCCTTATCATCCAGTCTTCCTAAAAAATATCAGAGTTTGAAATTGCTCTTCAAATATCTAAAGATTTTTTAAATGAATTCTTTTTTTTTCAAATTCTCAATTAAATTAGAAATTATGAGAGACTTTTCCTTATAAACTTAAAAAGATTTCGGCTGACAAGAGTGATTTATTAGCTATAAATAGTCTCCATGATTTATATGTTAACCTTAAAAGTTATTGAATTTAAACAAAGTTCCAAAATATCAGAAAAAATATTGATGATTAATTTTTGCACCCCTTTTGCATCATATCTCAAGCCTATAGGTGTATACTATTAAAAAAAGTTATCCCCATTATATATTATGCTCAATCATATAAAATTTACATGTCCATTTTTATCCGTTTCATTATTGGTTAATTTAAGCTTTTCGAAGGATACAATCTGTTTGCCCAACTGTTCTCCAGTAAAGGGGGAATCGGGGTGAACGTAAATCCTATCATTTACTATAGGATCGGCCTTTCCAGCGACCAACCAAGATGATCTATGATACGCGTATCTGTAACGTTTGTTATCGACGGGAGCTATATCCAATAACACTAAATATTTGCTTTGAGGTTTTATTCCAGGCCCGCTAAAATTGACCCTTATCGTTGGAAACATTCTCCTACATTTTTTTTGTTTATTCAAAAAAACCGATAATTTATATAATATACTTATTATATAACGTGCGAATTTGGTTGTTTGCCTAGTCTTTGTAGGAGAATATACCGGTGGATGGAGATATAAAAACTCCTCAAGGAAAAAATGTATCAAACTTTTATAATATTTTGCGAAAAAATGTTCTTTATACTGATATTTAAATTTATTATTAATATTATGATGTTGCTAAATATTCGATGTATTTTATAACTTTAATTTGTAATATATCCATAGTGACATATCTTATTATTTTTGTCGTATTTACTTTTGTTACTTTTTCCCTAAACTACTCATGCTCTTAGTGTGAGCATGGAGGGACACCCTATTGACAAATTTGCTCTGTTTTATGAACAAGATTTTTTTACCACCATCCACACCCTCATCTACCTTAAATATATTAAAAAGAAATTATAAACAATATTTTTTTGAAATAATAAGTATCAGCTAATAATATTTAAAAATAATTAACTATATATTTAGAATTTAAAAGAAAACAATTTAAATGGTTTAAAAAACAAAAATTATTTTTTGAAAAAAAATATAATTCGGCTGGCTTATGACTTATACCAGTCTGTAACTAAGGAAATTCGATTTAATTTATAAAATGACAAAATGTTGCAAAAAATTATTTTCACAATATAAAAAAATTCCCATAGCAATAACCGGTTTAATTTTCTCCTTCTTTTCAATAAAATATATATTTTTTAAAACATTTACTTTAACCGCATAATTTTTATATTTATCTGAAAATTTTATCATGTATGAAAAAATAATTTATGATAATTTATTTTCTTGAAATTAAATTTAATCAAATGTGAAGACATGGGGCAGGTTTTGGCGGGGTGCGTATTAGCCATTTTTAAGTATGGATTATTTTAAATAAAAGAAATTCAAATTTATAAAAACATTAAAAGCCAGAGTTTAGCTGATTGACTTATTTTTGGAAATTATGTTTTAACTGGTAACAAGTTTATATATAATAGAGATGGACATGGTAAATTTAACATATTCGATAATTTATCTCATTTATTTATAGGATTAACATTTTTATATAAAAAAATTTTTAAAATCTAAAAATAAAGAAGTGCTATTGACACGCAACGCTAAAGGGTAATAGGTACCCCGGATATTATTCATAATGCTTAAATTTTTATTTTTTTTAAATTTTATATTAACAAAAAAATTAATTTTTTTACTTAAATATTTATTTCTACAGTAGAGATATATGTAAAGAATATAACTACGTTTAAAGATATTAGAAAATTTATTTCATCTATTTTTTATAGCACTGAAATTATTTATGGAGAATTTAACCCCGATCTCCCTTACTATATTAGCATTTTACTTAATTGTGCACTTAAGCGTTCATCATTCATTCGTGGTTTTATCGTTTTTTAGTGGGGGAAAAAATTTGAGAAATATTAATCTGTTTCTTTATAAATACTATATTAAAACTAATTATTATAACTCAAAAAATTAATAGTATCAAATATATATTTTTTATATTGATTTGATCTTAAAATATTCGAAATGCTTAATAAAATATTTATTTGTAATTGTATAAGATTACCAATATTATTAATATACAATGAAATTTTGCCTAATTTGAGCTTAGAATAAAAGTAAAGATTAAGCTTAAAATTCAAATTATCCAAAAATGTTCATTTTTAATTGATAATTTATCCAATTTTTTTTTTGGCAAATCACTCGAGGGCTAAAAGTTTTAAATGAAGACATGTTTTTACTAGATAATTCTCGTAAAGAAGAATTAGATTATGAATTAAACAAAAATAAATAAAATATGATTTCAATTATAAAAACTTATTAAACATAAATTATTTGTAAAAAGGAGGGGAAATGGGGGGGGGGCTTAAGAATTAACAATTTTAGTAAAATATTATCTAATTTCGAAAAACAATATTAAATACGAATTAAATTACGAAATACACACAAAAGATGAAGAAATTTATTATACTTATAAGTTATAACTTATTTATACTTAGAGATGGAAAAAGATTAATTATATTATAACTTTGTAATATTTTTTCTATTAAAAAACGGGAAATTTAAAGCTAAATTAAGGATTACTGATAGATAATAAAGAGAGAAGATAATAATAATATTATATTTATATGATATTATTATATAATATAAAATTATATAATTTAAACTTAAAAAGATTAATATTTTTAACCATCTACAAAATTATTAATAAGATTGAAATGATATAATAAGTTTTAGTCCTATTTTCTCTTCTAAGAGAAAAAAAATTAATAGAAAATTGTTGAGATAAAAATCATTTTTTTTAATAATGATAACTAATAAGTATTATAATATAACATTATATTAAATAATTTTGAAATTGAGATTATTAACTCGTTTATTAATAACTAAGTTAGAGGAAAAAGATTTATAAAAGTTTGACATTTACACGGGATAAAGCGTAGGCCTGAACTTATGATCACTCTGTTATTCCTTATGTCCTACGGGTCAGTCCTAAATTTAATTAGAAGAACGACTTTTAAAGAAATCGAGTCTTCAAAATGATAAAAATTAACGACGCCAATCATTTTTCTTAGAGTATAAGAACAATGCTTGCTAAATATATATAACTCTTTTTCAATCTTATTGCTTTCACATTTTCTATACCTTAGATATTTGTTGCATGTTTTTTTTATGAAAATTTTTCTTAAGATCGTTACTTCTTAAATTTTAACCCTCAAAACCTTTAGTGGTTAAACACAAAAAGTAAAATTTGCCAAATGGCTTTAATACTTAAAATTCTAATGAGATTAAATATAAAGAAGGGTAAAACAACCCAATTTGAAGGAATTTTTGCATTGAAATAATTCTATACCCATTTATATTTTATATTAGGAAAATTTAAATAAGCACAATTTTATTATTGTAATATTATAATATCTTTTTTAGGAAAAAAAAAAATAATAAATTTTTTTAAGAATATCGTCTTAAAATTTTGCAACAATAATCTATAGAATGGCAATCAACAAGAATAAAGGCATTTTTTTCAAAATTGCATTTTCCTGATTTTGTTGCAATTTTAAATATGAAACAAAGAATTTCAGTTATATTTTTTTAAGTAACGGAAATTGTAACTCTTACTTTATTTTTTCATCCTTTGGGAAATTTAGATAAGAGAATAAATAATGAAAAGTATTAAAATTATAAAATATAATAAATAATAATCAAATATTTAATATGATTTAATTTATTACTGTTGTATTTTCCAACCTCCGAAGATTGTCTAGGGCAATAATAATTACTTATGAAATTTAGATTGTTTTTATCTAGTTTCGCTTTTAGATTTTACTTAAATATTTTATTTTCTTAGTTTTTTTGATATTTGTCTACAAATTTACATAAAAATGTAATATTTAAAAAGTAGAGAGCTTCTTATACAGTAGTTTCTCTAGATTTGAGTAACTTAGTGGTAAAATATTTTACCCAACGGTGTTCAAAAAACAATTTTCAAACGGAAAATTTTAGTTTTAAAGATACAAAGATACCCGCTATCTTATACTCAACTTTTCTTAATATTATATTTAATTTTAGTGTTATTAAACGGCTCCATTTTTAAAAACTGCTAACAAAAGACTTTTATCATAGATAGAAGGTTTGGGCATCTATTAACAAAATCTTGAAGTTAGTGTAATATTCAATGGCTAAAATATTGGGTTAGCAGTTTTTAAAAATGAGCAGTTCAACATATTTGATTTCCTCTGGCTTATTTAGTAAAAGGGCTTTCAAACCGATTCAAAAATAGAATCATGGATACACCAATATGTAAGAGTGCATATTCTAAAAAACATTTTCAATAACTCTATATAAAAAGGATTCTCGATAAAATGGGGAAATATTTTATTTATAAATCATTCTCTATAAAATAATTAACTGCAAAATGATACCATATAAACTACAATCTCCGTAAAATAATTTTCTATGAATGGTATTCTATATAATTGTTTTCTCTATAAAATAAATTTTCTATAGTTTTTATATAAAGCGATAGTCACCATAAATTGTTTTCCTTATAAAAGTTTTTCTATAAAATAAATTTTGTACAGAATAAATCTCTATAGAATCATTCTCTATAAAGGTTTTTTCCTCTATACTTATAAATTGTATTCTCTATAACGGTTTTTCCTTAAAGACGAGATAATCACATAATATATACTCGTTAAAAGAAAATCTAAGACATAAAAAAAATTGAATTTAACCATAAAGATAATTTCTTACTTTAAAAATAAATAAAATTAAATTAAATCTTTTAAAAAAAGGAAATTTTTAAAATGTATAATAATAAGAAGTTATAAAACTTTTTCGGGGAATTAATATTCTATTTTTTCTTCTAAAACAAAAGATATATGAAATTAAGTTTTGATTTCAAAAATTTTTCAAATCATATAATATCATTTCATAATATATAAAAAGCTAAAAATAAAACTTTTAATTTTATTATAAGAGAGCCAAGCTATTTAATGAATGAGGAAATTATAAGCTTAATGATTAAAACTTTTTTATGGTGCAAAAAAAATTTCAGTATTATTTTTTTGTAACAAAAATTAAATGATTTCATTTAAATGTATAAACTAAATGCCTTAATTGTTAATTATTGGTATAGTTAAATATTACGATATATTAATTTATAAAAATAATCAAAATAACTATAAGCTAAATTGTTGCGTTATGGCTGGTCTTATTAAATATGGGATTAATATAACTCATCGATAGATTGACCATCACGGCAAAAAAACTGACCAATTAGATACCATAATTCTTTTCTTTATCTATGCATAATGTCAGGCGCGTAGCCAGCGTATCAAATATTTTTGAAAGGATATAAATGTATCTGAAAACCAATTAATTTCAGAATTTAAATAATATGAAAGATACATTTTTGTAGATAACCCTCCAAGAAATACAGTGAAAGCATTTGCTGTATAT